CAGACGGCTGGCGGTTCAAATCCACCAGCCACTCCTCGGAAGGAAGGTTGGGCAATCCTACTTCCGTAGTGATACTGCCTCGGAAACCCAAGAAGGGGTCGCTATGAGTTGGGGCCGACTCGACGGCACATAACAACAACAACAACAACATGAAGAACCTGTACATATAGACTGTTATTCAAACAGAACAAGAGGAATACTGCGTGGTTTAAAATCAGGAAGGGAGTGTGCCAGGGTTGTATCCTTTCACCATACTTATTCAGTCTATATGCTAAACAAATAATCCAAGAAGCTGGACTCTGAAGAAGAGGAACATGGCATCAGAATTGGAGGAAGACTCATTAACAACCTGCGATACACTGATAATACAACTTTGCTTGCTGAAAGTGAGGATGACTTGAGGCACTTACTGATGAAGATTGAAGACTACAGTCTACAGTGTGGATTACACCTCATATAAAGAAAACAAAAATCCTCACAATTGGACCAGTGGGCAGAATCATGATAAATGGAGAAAAGATTAAAGTTGTCAAAGACTTGGTTCTACAATCAACGCCAATGGAAGCAGCAATCAGGAAATCAGGTGACATATTGGATTGGGCATATCTGCTGCAAAAGAACTCTTTCAGGTGCTGAAGAGCAAAGATATCTCCTTGAAGACTATGGTGCACCTAACCCAAGCTATGGTATTTTCAGTCACCTCATATGCATGTGAGAGCTGGACAGTGAACAAGGAAGACCAAAGAAGAGTTGATGTTTTTAAGTTATAGTGTTGGCAAAGAATACTGAAAGTACCATAGACTTCTAGGAGAGCTAACAAATCTGTCCTGGAAGAACTCTAGCCAGAATGTTCCTTGGAAGCGAGAATGGCCAGACTTGCTCTCATCTGCTTTGGTCATGTTGTCAGAAAGGACCATTCGCTGGAGAAGAATATCATGCTTGGTAAAGTGGAGGGTCAATGAGGAAGGGGAAGACCCTCAATGAGAGGGGTTGACACAGTGGCTGCAATGATGGGCTAAGGTATAGATATAGCAAGGATCATGAGGCTGGCACAGGACCAGGCAGTGTTTCGTTCTGTTGTGCATAAGGTTGCTATGAGTCAGAGAGTACTTGACAGCACCTAAAAACAACAACATTTTCCATCAGTGAGAATTTTTTTCTGCTGGAAGGCAGGTGGTTCCACTGATCTGAGTCCATTTAAGCCCCCTCTGAGTGCAATTTGGGAGTTTCAGGTTTCACTTTCAATCTTTGCTGCTGGCCTACACCCACATCAAGGACAACTCTTGTTTTTATCATATGTAATCATTCAGTGTAATTTGGGGGAAGGGGGACTGCACAGATATCCATTAAATTTCACAAAATATTTATTTTGGCCATGTTTTATGTATTCCTGTAATTCTTATTTATTTGTAGAAAGTAAGGTACTAGAAGGCTAAATCAGCTGCTCCTTCTCTTTTAGCATGTTAACATAAGGATTTGAGAATATAAACAAGGTACCATGCCCTAAATAGCTGTTTTAAAGTAGTTCATTTCATTTCATTTTACCCTCAGGTGAATAGTTTTGGCTCTCCTTGACTTCATAATATTGACTTCATAATAGCCAATTTGATGGCCAAATTTGATCTCTAGCTTGCAGAATTGGTAACTTGTATTCTTTTTACAAAACTGTAGGAACTAGTCCAGGCTAGTGAGCGATTAAAAAACCAGTCCAAAGAGCTGAAAGACGCACACTGCCAGAGGAAACTGGCCATGCAGGAATTCATGGAGATCAATGAGCGACTAACAGAATTGCACACCCAAAAACAGAAACTTGCTCGCCATGTCCGAGATAAGGAAGAAGAGGTGGACCTGGTGATGCAAAAAGTTGAAAGCTTAAGGCAAGAACTGCGCAGAACAGAAAGAGCCAAAAAAGAGGTTAGTCTTCAGGCAAATTTTATAGTGCAAGTTTTATAGTGATTAAAGCTGCTTTTTCAGACTAGTGAAATAATATATATTTTATTCTTTAGTTTTTTTTTTTAAATGGCTATTTTTTTTTAGTTTGGTAATATTAATATGAATTTTAACATTCAAGTTCTCTTCCTATTAAAAGGTAAATTTCCAAGGGGAAAAACATTGTTTTGTTTGAACACCAATTATAATAAGAAAATCTGCTTCTTTCATTTTATTTTAAAGCTGGAAGTCCATGCAGAAGCTCTAACTGCTGAAGCATCTAAAGACAGGAAACTGCGTGAACAGAGCGAACACTATTCTAAACAACTGGAAAATGAATTGGAGGGCCTGAAGGTATCTCCCCCCCCACCTTCTTTATTGTGCTTTGGGTGAAAGTTTATAGAGCAAATTTATTTTCCATACAACAGTTCAAACGCATTTTGTCATGACATTGTTTGCAATCCCCATAATGTAAGAGCTCTCTTCCCACTTGCTCCTTATGGTTACCTTTTCCCTGTGCCTTCTTTCCTATACATTCCAGCCCTCTGAGTTATCTCCCTATGCAAATACTGCACTTATGATCTCCCATGGTTGATTGTTCTAAGGAGTATACTTACCTAGTGTAAATGTTCACCTTATACAACTCTTTTTCAGCTGGAAGTCACAGGAGTGAGTTCAGTTCCAGGCATGAAGGGCGACTAGGGGCCATAGTCTTGGCGGTTTCACTAGTCTCTATCAGACCAATAAGCCTGGTCTTTTTTTATGATTTTGAGTTTTGTTCCACATCGTCTCCCACTCTATTCAGGATCTCCTATTTTGATACATTTCTGAGTGGTTGCCAGTGGTAGTTCTTCTGGGCATCATCTAGTTCTTCTGGTCTCAGAGTCAGGGGGGCTGAAGTTCATATGAGCCATTAGTCCCTTGGACTATTTGTGTCCTTGCATCTTTGGTTGTGTTCATTCTTTTTTGCTCTGGATGTGGAGAGGCCGATTGTTGCATCTTAGATGGCTGCTTGCAAACTTTTAAGACCCTAGTCACTACTCACCAAAGTAGGATGTAGAACAATGTTTTTGTGTAGTACGTTATGCCAGTTGAGTTTGATGTCCCCCATGACCATGGACCGAGACCTGTGGGCCCAGTGACTCATTCCCTCAGGGTGTTAGGCTGTGGCTAAGAAGTTATCAAAATTTTGCTACTTGTTAGCTCTATTGTATATATAGACATTCTTATAGCACATAGAAATACATATCATCTGCCAAACTTATATATATATAGTCATCTGTATATTCCCTTTTGCCTAGACATAGCCAATCATTTTTCCTGTCAACTTATGGATCCACCTGTAAATTAATGTTTGTTATTACTGAAAATGCAGTATTGTGTATGTAAAAGTGTTTATCTTTGTTGTCTGTGCCTTTTGTGCATCTCATTGTGTCTTCCTTTTCTGTAGTGTTACTGTGGTGGTCACTCAATTTTGGTATATTGCCATTCCCTTTACCCAAATCAATATTTGTCTCTTACCGTCTAGAAATTTTCCTTCCCTTCCCCTCTCATCCATGGTAACCACAAAGACAGTTTCTTTCCATATGTAAACCTTTCCTTGACTTTTTACAATGGCGGACTAATATAATATTTGTCTTTCTGTGATTGACTTACTTCACTCGGCATAACATCCTCCAAGTTCATCCACATTATGAGCTTTTTCATATATTCTACATTATTCTTTACTGTTGCATAGTATTCCATTGTGTATATGTATTATTGTTTAGTTATCCATTCCTCCATTGATGGGCACTTAGGTTGTTTCCATCTCTTTGCTATTGTAAATGGTGCTGCAGTGAACATGGGTGGGCATTTATTTATTCATGTCTTGGCTCTCACTTCTTTAGGATATATACCTTGTTAAGGGATTGCTGGATCAAATGGTATTTCTGTTTCCAACTTTTTAAGGAGTCGTCATACTATTTTCCCCAATGGTTGTATCATTTTAAAGTCTAACCAGCAGTGTATGAGAGTCCCAATCTCTCCACATCCTTACCACCATTTGTTATTTTCAGTCTTGTTGAACTTTGCTATTATTGCTGTGTTGAGATGGTATTTCATTGTTGTTTTGATTTTCATCTTTGTTGGCTAATGGCAGAAGATGAGCTTCAGGTTGGAAAGCACTCAAATTAAGACTGGGGAAGAGCTGCCACCTCAAAGTAAAGTTGAACATAGTGATGTGGATCAAGTAATGCTTTCTGGACCTTCACTCACTCATAAGGCATGACTCATAATGGGAAGAAACTGATGCAAACATTCATTAATAATCAGAACATGGAAGTACAAAGTCTGAATCTAGGAAAATTGAACGTTGTCAAAAAAGAAATGGAATGCATAAAGATCCATATCCTAGACATTAGTGAGCTGAAATGGACTGGTATTGGCCATTTTGAATCAGACAGTCATATAATCTGCTATGCCAGGAGTGACAAATTGAAGAGGAATGACATCACATTCATCATCAAAAAGAACATTCCAACATCTCTCCTGAAGTACAGTGCTGTCCGTGATAGGATAATATCCATACACCTACAAGGAAGAACTATTATTCAGGTTTACACACCAACTACCAAAGCAAAAGATGAAGAAATTGAAGATTTTTACCAGTTCCTGCAGTCTGGAATTGACCAAGCATGCAATCAAAATGTATAGATTACTGTAGGTGATTGGAATGTGAAAGTTGAAAACAAAGAAGCATTGGTGGTTGGAAAATATGGTCTTGGTGATAGAAATGATGCTGGAGATCGCATGATATAATTTTGCAAGACTAAAGATTTATTCATTGCAAATACCTTTTTGCAACAGTAGTTCTTCTAGCATGACAAATATATAACATAAAAGAGCTGAACAGATTTCAAAGAGCGGCTCAAGAAGAAAAGTAAATTGTTATAATGAAATTTGCAGAGAACTGGAGTTAGAAAACCAAAAGGGAAGAACACACTCAGCATTTCTCAAGTTGAAAGAATTAGAGAAAAAATTCAAGCTTCAAGTCGCAATATTAAAGGATTCTATGGGAAGATTGGGCAATCTACTTCTGTAGAGATACTGCCTTGGAAATCTAAGGAGGGGTTGCTATGAGTCAGAAACAACTCGACAGCAAGAGTGAGTGTGAGTGAGTGATATGTGGAATATTGAATGATGCAGGATGCATCAAAAGAAAATGAAAGAAATACACAGAGTCACTTTACCAAAAAGAATTGGTTGACATTCAGTCATTTCAGGAGGCAGCATATGATCAAGAACCAGTGGTACTGAATGAAGAAGTCCAAGCTGCACTGAAGGAAATGGCAAAAAAAAAAAAAAAATGAGGCTCCAGGAATTGATGGAAAACCCATTGAGATGTTTCAACAAACAAATGTAGCTCTGGAGGTACTTACTAACTTATACCAGGAAATTTTGAAGACAGCTGCCTAGCCACTTGACTGCAAGAGATCCGTGTTTGTGCCCATTTAAAAGAAAGGTGGTTCAACAGAATGAGGAAGTTATCAAACATACCATTAATATTGCATGCAAGTAAAATTTTGCTGAAAATAATTCAAAAACAGTTGAGCCATATATTGACAGGGAACTTCCAGAAATTCAAGCTAGATTTAGAAGAGGATACAGAACAAGGGATATCATTGCTGATGTCAGATGGATCTTGGCTGAAAGCATAGAATACCAGAAAGATGCTTACCTGTCTGTGTTTTATTGACTATGCAAAGACATTTGTCTGTGTGGATTATAACATTATGGATAACATTGAGAAGAATTGGGATTTAGAACACTTAATTGTGCTCATGAAGAACCTGTACATATACGAGGAGGCTGTCATTAGAACAGAACAAAGGAATACTGTATGTTTAAAATCAGGACGGGAGTGTATCAGGAATGTATCCTTTCACCATACATATTCAATCTGTATGCTGAGCAAATAATCTGAGAAGCTGGACTGCATGAAGAAGATGGCATCAGATTGGAGGAAGACTCATTAACAACCTTTGATGTACAAATGACACAATCTTGCTTGCTGTAAGCCAAGAGGACTTACTGATGAAAATTAATGACTACAGTCTGCAGTATGAATTACACATCAACATAAAGAAAACAGAAATCCTCACATCGGGACCAGTAAGCAGAATCATGATAAACTGAGAAAAGATTGGAATTGTCAAAGATTTCATTTTACTTAGATCTACAATCAACACTCATGGAAGCAGCAGTCAAGAAATCAGGTGTTTTATTGCACTAGGCAAATCTGCTGCAAAAAACCTCTATGAATTGTTCAAAGAGGTGTTACTTTGAAAACTAAGGTTTGCCTATCCCAAGTGTGGTAGTTAAGGTTGTAGTCAACTTGACAGGGTCTGGTTGAGTGGCTAGGCAGCTGGATATAGTTATTCCCCATGGTGAGATTGGCAATCAGTTCCATGGTGGAATCTACTGGAGCAGCTGAGTAGCTGCTTTAGGGATATAGTCTGCTTCCAGTGTATTAAGAAGCAGCTTTGAGGAAGGTCTCCAGCTGATGGTATGCTTGAGCCCTACATGTAGTCGAGTCATTGTTCAGCAGCCTGGCTGTATTCATGTCTTCTGCCCATTTTTTTAATTGGATTGTCTTTTTGATATTGAGATGTTGGAGCTGTCTGTAAATTTTAGAGATAAGTCCCTCAGCAGATAGGTTGTTTCTGAATATTTTTTCCATTCCACGGGTTTCTTTTTACTCTTTTCAAGAAGGCTTGTGATGCACATAAGAATGTAATATTTAGAAGGTCCCAGTGATCTAGTTTATATTCTGCTGTTTATGCATTTTTATTTATGTTTGGTACTCTATTAATTGTGTGTATTAGTGCCTAAGGCATTTGACTGCTAACCATTAGGCTCGTGGTTCATACCCACCAGGTACTCCTTAGAAGGAAGATTAGACAATCTACTTCCTTAGAGATACCTCCTCAGAAACCCAAGGAGGGGTCATTATTAGTTGGGATTGAGTTGGCGGCAGTGAGATTTTTATTTTTATTTTTTTAATATATGGCATTAATGGTTGCCCCTATTTTTTATTTGATGAACTTCATAGTTTTAGGTTTTATGTTTAAGTTTTTGATCCATCTGGAGTTAGTTTTTGTGTGTGGTGTGAGGTATGGATCTTGTTTCAGTTTTCTGCAAATGCATATCCAGTTTTGCCAGCATCACTTATTAAAGAGACTATCTTGTTCTCATTTAATGGACAAAGGTATCTGGTGTCTATTGATTTCAGATCTGTTGTGTTAATTAAGTTTGTGTGTCAACTTGGCTGGGCCTGGTTGAGTGGCTGGGCAGCTGGATGTAGTATTCCCCAT